AACATATGGCTGTGAATTCTGGACAATCGGTAGGCAGGCCAAACAATTTCTTGAGGCCTCAGAGATGTGGTTTTACAGAAGTATGCTTAGAATACCTTGAACAGCCAAAAAGAGCAACCAAGAGGTTTTGAAAGAGGCGGGAGCCCGAAGACAACTTATCGCAGACATCAGAAGGAGACAGTCATCATAGAACATGTTGTGACCACTGGAAAGATCTGTGGAAGGGGGCATAGAGGAAGACAACGAGAGAAGATTCTTGACAGTCTTGTTGCATGGCATGGAGGTGTGTCGGCACCCGAACTGATACATTCTGCAGGAGATCGTGGATTATGGAGAGGCATGATAGCCCACCTCAGTCGGCAAGGCACCTGATGATGATGATGATTTCTATGAATGTCCAGCTTGTAACTTTTTTTTTACACAGCACCCTCTCATACATTCATCTTGCAGGATCAACACCAGATTCCTCGTCCACTCAATCTTATAAGTGTTATTTCATCTAACCACACGTCTTCTGTCAACTACAGTTCATAAATTGTCTTCAGAATGTCTCCCTTGTTCAGTACGATTGTTTATGGCAGGTCCCAAACTGAGCGCCGCCGCGCCCCAGGCAGCCGCGACCTCTTTACAGAATTGAAGAAAGGGGCGGCAACTAAGAAAAGTTTAGGAAGTAGTAGTAGAGTAGACTTTTACCCCACCAGGACATCACACAAGCGATAAACACCCGATGACAGAAAGTGCCACCATGTGAATGAGGATCACCGTGGAGAGGTCCCAGAAACCGCTCTCAGATATTTGACCATGTTTAGGGTCAGGCTATATTGCGGCCCCTGGCAAGAGCCGGGTGGGGCTTCAAATAAAGAAAAATTGTATCTCACAAGGAGATGACTGAATGATATCTAGTTTGTAAAACACTGATTTGGGAAACACTGCTTTATGTTATTCAGGTCCTTCCTTGCTAATCTCCCTTAAACTTTCTGGTAGTGAATTAGTTAGATACCCACCACGGAACTTCTGCGAAGTAATAGCCACTTGCATGAGGTAAAATATCATCCATATAGTGCCCTTGGGACTAAAACAATGCGAATCTAACAGCACATGCCCAATTCGCCAAAGAAGTGTTAAGGGTAATTATATGACTTGTGTATTGTCCACTTGGTTTTCTCACTTACATGTTTGTGTTGGCTGAGGCTGCAAGCCAGGTTCCCGCCATGCCGATCACGTCGATCCCAGTAGATAATTGGTTGAAGAAGTGAGGATGGCCTGTTAATTAGGAAATAATGTATATGTGATAGCAGAGTATTAGTAGTGGTGGTGGTGGTAGAAGGAGTAGCGGTGGTGGTAGTAGTAGTAGTAGTAGTGGTTGCGGGGGTGGTTGTAGTAGTGGCGATGATGCTGGTGGTTGTAGTAGTAGTAGTAGTAGTGGTAGTAGTAGTAGTAGTAGTAGTAGTAGTAGTAGTAGTAGTAGTAGTAGTAGTAGTAGTAGTAGTAGTAGTAGTAGTAGTAGTAGTAGTAGTAGTAGTAGTAGTAGAAATGCCATCATCACCACCACCAACAGCAGCAGCAGTAGTAGTAGCAGCAGCAGTAGTAGTAGCAGCAGCAGTAGTAGTAGTTGAAACACAAATATCTTATTCAACCTCGGAATTTGTATATCGTAAGAATAAAACATTTTTAAATAGCCTCCCAGTTTTCACACAGCACTTGAAAGTCTCCCAGCAACCACTGAGATACTTCCCACGACAGTATGGCAATGCTGATGATGGAAATACTGATGATGGCAATGCTGAAAATGGCAATGCTGTTGATGGCAATGATGATGACGACCAGGAGTTCTAAACATGATATTACCAACCACGCCCTTCTGTAGCTATAAGTAGTCCTTACAGCTCAACGGTGATTCCTGTTCTTGTGCAAGTCGGGAGTCCGCACTGTGTTCACAGTTTTTATCGAGGAGATGTATAAACTATAATTTCGTTAATTTGCAACATATTTTATCGAATTATTTGTCATTTTTTAGGTAAATAAGCGTGCTATTAAAATAAAATGATAAAGGCTTTTACAGAAAAACCAATATGCTTTTGCCACAGTCAACATGAACATTAACATCAATAACGTGGAGAAATAAACTGGAAGTTATCCTAGGAAAAGTAAAAATATATTAGTGCTAACTCTTTGATTTTGAGAGGGTATTGCATTACAGGACTCGAGGAGGGGGGGGGGGGTGACATTTGTACTTTATCAAATTTAGCACATGAAAATACTGCTGTGAAACACACACATATCACACATAACTATACATAGATGATTGATGGTTATTATTGCTGTTAGTAGACTACTACAACATATCATTATACTGTTATCTAATAATTATTAAACAAGCACAGTTAATATGAAATTGATATGTGCAATAATTTTTCACTTAGAGCAGTTTTCTTAACAGTACTTATAGCACTACTAAATATTTATCCCTAAAGTACAAACAGCACAAACAAATTTGTCCAGTTTCATATCGTTGGATGAAATCAGTTCCTTATTGTAAATTTTTTGGTAACTGTTTAAAAATACATCACATATATTTCTGAATACGTCATGCTATAACGTGTGTAAGTATCATAAATGGTATATTATTTTAAAGGTAAGTGAAGCACATTAAAACAGAACTGTAAATACTGTGCAACATACACATATCAAACACAAAAATTCCCCATATAGATACTGGATCTCGTTGTTGAAAAAAAAAAAATACTCGTTGCCTCCTTAACGAGCATGTAGTAAGAGTCGACTCATTGTAGCTTCCTTCGAATTCGGAATGCGTTTGCCTGAGAGGCAAGAAACAGCTGTCTGCATACAAATAAGTCAAACCTGTTTAACATATGTGCATGCAACAAACAGTGTCTGGAACAAGACTAAAGCCCAGAAGTAGATGAACGACCAGAAGTTTCTGCCAGAGTTTACAGCCAGTGATCGCGAAGCAGAAGATGGTTCACAAAAATAAACACAAATGTTTGAAAATTTATATTATTGCATGTCATAAGAGTCGACTCATTGTTGCTTCCTTTTAAGCGGGAATGCATCTGCCTGAGAGGCAATGAACCAGCGGTCTGATTACAAATAAGTCAGGTTTGAATAACCTATGGGCAGATGTAGATAAACAACCAGAACTTTCTGCCAAAGTTTACAGCCAGTGAACGCGAAGAAGAAGAAGGTGCACAGAAATGAGCACACATGGTCACATGGTAGAGGATTAATATTAGTGTACTTCTACAACATATAATTATACTGTTAGTCAACAATTAGTAAAGAGGCAAGAGTGACTTGCTGTGAGAGGTTAGTAAATATTGTTTTTATCCACTTACCCATCATCATGTAGCAGGTCCCTTTCAGAACGTCGCTCTCATCACAGTCTGCCTGTAAGTAACTCGGTCGCTTGCCAGTTCTCCCGCCTCATGAACTTTCACACTCAAGGAGCCACTTATATCCTGTGCCCATCTTCGTGTCTGTTGGCCCCTGCCACTCCTTCCTGGTACCATGCCTTCTGCTATAATTTTTTCCAATCCGTCGTGGCGCTTGATTTGACCAAAATATGTCAGCTTTCGAGAAAGGATGCTGTTTATTAGCCAATCTTCCTTGATGTTCAGATCTTTTAAGATGACAATATTTCTCATCTTTTTTGTCCAAGATATTCTGAGAATCTTTCTATAGCATTTCAGCTCAAAAGCCCCTATTGTATCCACTCACCCAGAGCTCCGAAATATCTTGACACAATTTATCCACAGTGTAGTTGCACCATTTATCCACAGTGTAGTTGCACCATTTATCCACAGTGTAGTTGCACCATTTATCCACAGTGTAGTTGCACCATTTATCCACAGTGAAGTTGCACCATTTATCCACAGTGTAGTTGCACCATTTATCCACAGTGTAGTTGCACCATTTATCCACAGTGTTGCCCGGCTCTCTAGCGGAATTGGCTAAACCGGATTTCGCGGAGACCGGGTGACGTACTCCTTGTGGTCCGGGTTCAATCCCGGGGGTAGGCAGGAAAGCCACATTTTCTCCCAGATTTACGGTATTTACAATGGAATCAAGGCCGAAAGGTTGCGATATCCATAATACCGAGCCTAAGGGTTAACAACTCAAGGCTTCTGGATACTCAAACAACAATCCACAGTGTAGTTGCACCATTTATCCACAGTGTAGTTGCACCATTTATGCACAGTCAATATGAAAGCAATAGTTTACTTCCGATACAAGATAGTTTGCACCTGACAACTGTGGATATTCTCCAGATCTGGCTTCTAAATTACCTGTTTGTATTTCCCCAAAAAGTAAGATTTCCACATTTAAAGTAGAAACAGCCAGTTCAAAAAAATCTAAACTACTGACTAGACACAGTGACACACACATCACAACACGACTGTCTACAGTGAATTTAAATTCAAACTGCTGTAATCTTAGAGCAAAGTTTGAAAATCTTGTATTTCCACTTCATAATATCCGCGTGTCGATTTGTAATACGAATACATTCAGAACACATAACTTTGTAAGCACATTAAAATGTCACACAATACAACACATAGAAACGGCTTCCACTAAACACTTTTCGATGGACTCCCTGCCAGAATGTCACGTGATTAGTTGGACGGACTATTTACAGTCTAAATATGGACGTGTTACCAACCTACCAGTTTTCACACAGTATTTGAGAGTCCCCCAGCAACCACTGAGATACTTTCCACGACAGTATGGCAATTATGAGAATGTCAATGAGGATGATGATGACAACGACTAGTTCTAAACATGATATTAACAACCTACCAGTTTTCACAAGGTATTTGAGAGTCTCCCTGCAGTCGCTGAGATACTTCACACGACAGTATGGCAACAATGATGATAAAGACAACTTCTAACTTGATATTACCAACCTACCAGTTTTCACACAGTATGGGAGAGTCTTCCAGCAATCACTGAGATACTTCACACGACAGTATGGCAATGATGATGATGACAACGACGAGTTCTAAACATGACATTACCAACCTACCAGTTTTCACACAGTATGGGAGAGTCTTCCAGCAATCACTGAGATACTTCACACGACAGTATGGCAATGAGGATGATGACGACGAAGACGAGCTCTAAACATGACATTACCAACCTACCAGTTTTCACACAGTATGGGAGAGTCTTCCAGCAATCACTGAGATACTTCACACGACAGTATGGCAATGAGGATGATGACGACGAAGACGAGCTCTAAACATGACATTACCAACCTACCAGTTTTCACACAGTATTTCAGAGTCTCCCTGCAGTCGCTTAGTATCTGCTCTAGGTCGGTTGGCTCTGGGTTGATGTCCAGACAGTGCGACATCATCTCCTTCAGCTTTGTCCCCAGCAGAAGTCAAGGTCATTCCCCATGCAAGATGATTGTCAAAAACACAGTTATTTCATAGGACTAAAGCAAGTCGGAAAAGATTTCTTAAGAGCTATGTAATTACAATCATGAGATACGGTAGGGAATTATGGACAGCTGGTTAGTTAGAGAAAAATTATGTGGAAGCGGCAGAGTTGTGGCTTTACAGAGCATACTTTGGATCTTTTCAATAGGCCATGCCGGTGTAATGGGTACTGAACAGGCGGACAGATTCGCTGGATCTGCACCAGTGGGTGGTGAATTGATACATGACAAGGCAGATGTGGTCAAGATCCTTTGGGAACAAGCAACGGAATCAGTAGAGAAACAATATGATTTTGGCCTTGAGAGAATGAGGCACCTGGGTGTAACCAGAGGGTCTGGTCGGCTCACTACTCTGAGAAAAGACAAGACGGACTTATAACTAGATTGTGACCGGCACCATTAGTTTGGAATTCTGCGCTGGCTGCTGAAGAAGAGGACGGAGCACGCATGAGAATGTCTCGAGTGCTGTGATGTCAATTCTTGACTCAACTGAACTCAACTACAGAGCCGAATGATGAGAACACCATAGACTTTTTAAAAAATGAAATGAAAATGCATTGAAACAAAATGAACTCACGAGAACTGATTCTTCTTTGTCCTACTACTTATGTTGTTAAGCAACACACAGAGAGAAACTGCTCGTAGTTGTAGTTTTATGTCTTTTATCCACAGATGGTGATGATGACAAAACTGATGATGACAATGGTGATGATGACAAAACTGATAATGACAATGATGATGACAACGGTGGTGATGATGACAAAACTGATGATGACAATGGCGATGATGACAAAACTGATGATGACAATGGTGATGATGACAGTGCTGCTGATGATAAAACTGATGATGACAATGGTGATGATGACAATAATGATGACAACGTTGATGACGACAATGGTGATAATGACAATGATGATGACAACGTTGATGACGACAATGGTGATAATGACAATGATGATGACAACGTTGATGACGACAATGATGATGACAACATTGATGACGACAATGGTGATAATGACAATGATGATGACAACGTTGATGACGACAATGGTGATAATAACAACGGTGATGACGACAATGATGATAAGGACAACTGTGATTATGACAATGGTGATGATGACAAAACTAATAGTGACAATGGTGATGATGACAACGGTGATGATGACAATGGTGATGATGACAACGGTGATGATGAAAATGGTGATGATGACAATGGTGATGATGACAATGGTGATGATGACAATGGTGATGATGACAACGGTGATGATGAAAATGGTGATGATGACAAAACTAATAGTGACAATGGTGATAATGACAATGGTGATGATGACAACGGTGATGATGACAATGGTGATGATGACAATGTTGATGATGACAACGGTGATGATGACAATGGTGATGATGACAATGTTGATAATGACAACGGTGATGATGACAACGGTGATGATGACAATGGTGATGATGACAATGGTAATGATGACAACGGTGATGATGACAATGTTGATGATGACAATGATGATGATGACAACGGTGATGATGAAAATGGTGATGATGACAAAACTAATAGTGACAATGGTGATAATGACAATGGTGATAATGACAATGGTGATGATGACAACGGTGATGATGGCAATGGTGATGATGACAATGTTGATGATGACAATGTTGATGATATCAATGGTGATGACAATGTTGATGATGACAATGGTGATGATGACAACGGTGATGATGACAATGGTGATGATGACAATGTTGATGATGACAATGTTGATGATGACAATGGTGATGATGACAATGGTGATGATGACAACGGTGATGATGACAATGTTGATGATGACAACGGTGATGATGACAATGGTGATGATGACAATGTTGATGATGACAACGGTGATGATGACAACGGTGATGATGACAATGGTGATGATGACAACGGTGATGATGACAATGGTGATGATGACAACAGTGATGATGAAAATGGTGATGATGACAAAACTAATAGTGACAATGGTGATAATGACAATGGTGATGATGACAACGGTGATGATGACAATGGTGATGATGACAATGTTGATGATGACAACGGTGATGATGACAATGGTGATGATGACAATGTTGATAATGACAACGGTGATGATGACAACGGTGATGATGACAATGGTGATGATGACAATGGTGATGATGACAACGGTGATGATGACAATGTTGATGATGACAATGATGATGATGACAACGGTGATGATGAAAATGGTGATGATGACAAAACTAATAGTGACAATGGTGATAATGACAATGGTGATAATGACAATGGTGATGATGACAACGGTGATGATGACAATGGTGATGATGACAATGTTGATGATGTCAATGTTGATGATATCAATGGTGATGACAATGTTGATGATGACAATGGTGATGATGACAACGGTGATGATGACAATGGTGATGATGACAATGTTGATGATGACAATGTTGATGATGACAATGGTGATGATGACAATGGTGATGATGACAACGGTGATGCTGACAATGTTGATGATGACAACGGTGATGATGACAATGGTGATGATGACAATGTTGATGATGACAACGGTGATGATGACAACGGTGATGATGACAATGGTGATGATGACAACGGTGATGATGACAATGGTGATGATGACAATGGTGATGATGACAACGGTGATGATGACAATGGTGATAATGACAACGGTGATGATGACAACGATGACAATGGTGATGATGACAACGATGATGATGACAATGGTGATGATGACGATGGTGATGATGTCAATGATGATGGCTGTGGTGGTTTTTTAACATACCTGATGAGGATGGTGGAAATCCAACACTTTGGTACTTCTGTCTCCCTCAGAAAGCACGTAGGACGTCAACAGTTCACTAAGGGCGCTCATGAAATGGACAACCTTCTCCCGCCCTCCACTTTCATCGAACTCTGTAAATAAATCATTATATGTTCTCGAAAGAAATATATTTATTCTTTCTTCTTCTTCCGCCTTTCCCTCCTCTTTATCTTCTTCTTTTTTCTTTTCTTCCCATACCCACCCTTTATCCCTCCGTTAAAGTATAGCTTTCTCTCGACTCTACGTCGTCGCGTGCAGCTCACTCGTGTGGCCTATTCCATCGTTGTTACTTTACTCTCTAGCTCTCTTCTCTGTGTGTTTTGCCTTGCCTTTATTTCGGTACCCGTGTGGTTTCAAATCTTGGGAAGTAAAGGCTGCCAGTGTGATGTTGACCACGCCACCCACCGAATATAAAATATATATCTAGCCCTATATGCCCAATACGCCCGAAGGCGTGAAAATCTACTGCAATGATAATTTTCACGTTTTTGTTTTCTAAGTAAAAGAAAATGTACCGGACCTCATCACACAGTGTCTGAAACAGGTGCCAGTATTTATCATCATCATGTAGCAGGTGCTTTGGAGAACGTCGCTCTCATCTGCCAGAAAAAAAATTCTTGGTCTCTCACGCCTAGTGTACTTTTATATTCAAGGAGTCACTTATACCCTGTGCCCATCTTCGTGTTGGTCGGTCCAGTCCCTCCTTCCTGGCCCCATGCGTTCTGTTATTATTTTTTCCTCTTGATATGACCACAATTTTTCCGCTTCCGTGACAAGATGCTGTTTATCAGCCAATCTTCCTTGATGTTCAGATCTTTTAAAATATCAATTTCTTCTCTTCTTTGCCCATGACTGTCAAGGAATGACCCGCCACTACACATAATCGTAATCGTCGAGTCGGGACCTGGTATTCCCCCCCCCCCCCCCCCCCCCCCCGCTTGACAAAAATTTCAAACTTGGACCCGTCCGGAAAGGTATATAGTCCCTTATATTGATATATACCTTTATCGGATAAAATAATAATGTCTACATCTTCTAGTTGCTTTGACTTATCGTCATTTTCACATTTGCAACTGTAAGTTGATTATTTCTAAGGTTTTATTTGAACATTCCTGGAAACCAGTTTACTCCTTGCTCATGTATACAAGGAACTTCTTCTTACTAACGCTAAACTTGAGTTAGTGTGGGCATTCTTCTGCCGGCATTCCTAGAGACCAGAGATATTCATCGACACCTAACAAATTCATACTTTGAGAAGGCGGCCTGTAGTGTCTAGGACATTTCCTATGCTTGGGATGAAACCTCTGTAAAGAGCAGGCAGATTAATCACAGTCCTACTAACATCCACCAACCAACTATCCATCAGCTAACACCAGTAAATGTACCTGGCATCATCATGGTGTGCCATATACACCAACACCTTAACTGGGCCAGAGCGTGTGAGTGAACTCCAGAGAACATTTGCAGAGAGTATACCCATAATCGAGTGTACCAGTCTTCAGGAGCTTGGTGGAGCTCAGAGACAGAGTTGTGACCTAACCTACAGTTCCTGTGTCCTCGATGGTGAGGTACTCCTCTATGAACAGATTCACTTGAGGCAGAACTACCAGAGTCAACTACAGTCGAATCACCATAGACTGAGGGGAGCATCAACAATAGAACTCTGATAAGTGCCAGTTTTTGTGTTATTATCATGCTCTATTCCCCACAGCTCCAATGTATTCCATTGATGACACTGTGTTGCTAGTCAAGACCTTCTGGCTGTTTCAATATCTGAGTCGTTGCTCTGAGTTCTGATCCTACAAACATTCTAAACATTATTCTTTTATTGATGTAAAGAAGTTAAATTGATTACATGCCTTCATTTTCATGGCTGACTTAGGTGTCTCTATTTCACCTTACTAAGTGTTTATCTTTGATGTGTGTATGTATAATAAGTATTATATGTGTTAACATGGTTATGATAGTAAACTATCATAACCTGGGGGCTTTCTTTTTATAGTAGTGGGGGTGTCCAGCCAAGTGTGCCTAGGAATATTTATATTCGTATACATA